TAACATTGCCATTTAAAGCAAAATATGTAAAGATTTAGGGATTTGGCACATTTATTGTTTAAAACATAACTGTGCACAGCAAATTCTTCTTCAGAAGCACTGTTTTTTTGTTAATTACAATTTAAAGTCAGAAATACTGATACTTCTCAGCATGAGAGATGCTTTTTTGTGCTTGCTTTTCATTTGTGCTGACAGCCTGTGCATGACTGATGTTTATGTGGAAAGCTTAATGAAACTGTGGTGCTAAGTCACTTCCAGCCAAATCCCGACTGTTGAATGACTATTGTCAGCGGTTATCAGAGCCACACAAAAGCACCTGTTGGGCAACATGTCCAAAATCTCCAACCGGATAACCGCCGATCTAACATCGACCGACTGCTGACAAATTTCTGCAGAAACAGAACTTTCCTCCAAAAACAAACTAACTAACAGGAAAAGGATTTAGCCTATTGGCTGACCCTAATCACCGGCAGGCGCCCTGGTACTAATCAATATGCTGTGTTTAGAAGGCACAGCTGACCAGTAGGGTATTGCATCATGCGTCACTGCACTTCTATCTGCTTTTCTGGGAAGACTGATGTCAGGCTAAAAGCAACAGGCTACACTGTAGGCAAAGCAAAGCAGTTAAGTCCAAAATTTGGGCCCCAAAGCTTACAACTGCCCTAATGAAGAACTGTGTTTTAATCTGCAAACACACCTTTGCTGCAGTTCTTTGAGGCAGCCTGTGAATCAGGTCTGCCTTAGATCTACGTCTACAGTGAGCTACTCTCAATTGTGTTGCTGCTGCTTCATCGCCCAGCCGAGGAGGGGAGCGAAATTACAAAATAAAAAGAGCAGAAGTGAGACTTCTGGTTAAAAACTAGAAGAAGAGTGAAGACTGTCAAGCTCTCAACCAATCAGCATGGTTTGATTGGTGGTTTGATCCCAGTCCGTCTGTCAGAATATCCTTGGGAAAGATGCCAACCCCGAGTTGCTCTTTGATGCATCCACAGAGTGTGGATCAGTGCTCAGGTGTAGAAAAAGCAAATAGATGAATGCACAGATTCCACCATTACTTCAGCTCATCGGGGCAGAACAACCCCCACTGAATCAGGTAGTCACAGGAGCCAACCTGCACACCAGCTGATAACATTACAGCCTTTATTATCCATGGGTATAAATGGAGACGAATATGCCTTTCATGATAAGAGGTAAACTATTCCAGGTTATCAGACTAAAGCTCTGTCCTTCTTCATGTTAATCTGAGCTCTGAGAACAAGTCTTCTCAACCACAGGGGCTTCATTTAGTCTTTGCTAAAGATGAGCTGCAGCATTCTGCATCTGCAGGCTGAGTAAAGAGTATAATAAATTACAATGATATGGCCATGAGGACAAAAAAGGAGGCTGGGTCTTCTTCTCAGCACTTTTATACTCAAATGAAAAAAATGGTGTTAAAAGCGAACGAACGTTGCTCCACTCTGACAGAAAAACCCCTCAAAATGCACGCATATAACCGCTCGATAAAACAAACTATCTATCTTTTTTTTCCCCCTCGTGGTTGCAGACACCCACTAATTTTGTGTTCTGGGTAAACAGTCACATGCTCTTCACTGGAAGAAGAATATTCACAAACAAGGGTCACATGAGATGAGACGTCTAAATTATTAGTATGCAGTTTGGCATCAGCGGGTAAAGGTCCCGCAGATTGCTGCGATCTTTCTGGGCTTACTCGGGGCCAATAATGACGGGCTCTGATTTATTGTCAGCTTTTTGCACACGGCTTTTATTTTGGAGGTCAAACTCCACGCACAGCTGCAGATTCTCAGCACCCATTGTTCTCTCAGATCAGACGAGGTCATATCGGCATGACCGGCACCGTGCAGGCAGGTCTCCCCGTCCATCCCGCCGCCGTTATCGCCTTAATGGTAAATGTGAAATTTCGATTCCCATTTGGCTGAATGGAGCACTAAAACTCTCCGCGAGAAAGAAAAACTAATTTCACTCAAATGCAGCACATCTGCTGTCCTATGTGATAAGAAATTGCTTTCAGATATGAACAGACACACAAACACCCGGGCCGCTGTTAGGGGGGCCGAAGCCTATCTTTATTCTCTCACTGTGTCCATGAATGCAGCTCCGGATATGAACCATGATCCTTTTCATTTCCTCTCTCCAGTGAAAGGTGGATACCATGCCCTCACCCATCCCTTAATACACACACCTGAAATACTTCCTCCACCCTGGCTGTGTTTTCTACCTGCCACCTTGTGTGTATGTGTTCGCGTGAGGGGGACTTTGTCCTCCAGGAGAGCGAGAAGGACCCACTTCCTGTGTCAGATTGCCTCTCACATTCCACACTCTCCCTCAATCCGCCCGGCTTGGGCTATTTTTTCCCCTCCTCCTTGATCCTTCTCTCTTTCTTCCTCTCTATGGGGGGCTTTGTCTGCTATCGGAGGCACAAAACACTGATTCATTCCACGACTTGAACATGATCCTCAAGAACACGACGCCTTTCCGCCAAACACACACAAACACACTCGCACCATAAAACGCACTTGTTCAAGGAGAGAGAGGGCTGGCGAGAACAAGTTGTTGGCATTGGAGATTCACTATTTTTGAGCCCACACACAGACAGATGGACAGTCAGGGCTCTCATGAAGGCAAACGGATGCACGCACACGCACACACACACAGGCTATCCGTGGGACACAACAGATGTCTGTGGGAAAATCAGTCTCCCATGTAAAATAAAGACGGCCGGATGTGATGTCACAGCTTTGACAACAGGAAATACCCACAGGGACAAAACACAGAGGAATCACTCAGAACACACACACACACACACACACACAGTCTCCTGGCTTCAAGCCAAGAAGCATCTGAGAAAAGAGCTCATCAGCGGATGCACGCGACCACGGGTCATGCGCGCGTGCATTCAAAGCCCGGGGTTGCTTGAGGTTGAGTCTGTAATTATGACCCTCGACGGCAGCTGATCTATCAGTGCGCTCCTCACCACGGCGTATATTTACGTGTATGTGTGTCACACACCTGTCTCCATCTGCACACTTAAAAGACAGATTAGGTCAGCTGGAGGCCAAGGATCTTTGGCAAGGATTGCAACCGACTGACCTACTAATCAGTGTTTATATCTGTGAGTGTGTGGTGTTGAAAACAGCTGCCAGAACTGGTGCAGCTTCACCGCAGAAACAACGAAAGATGGTCCAAGCAAAGCAAGGGTGAATTAGGCAAGAAAAGGCATTAAGCAGCAACATTTGGGCCTTTTGTACAACAATATGGAAATAAAAACTGTGACTATGTATAAAGGTGGCTTAAAGCTGATGGATCTCTCTTAAGTAGAACTGGTTTCTCTGGTCTGTTTAATTAATTGCCTGTGAGAAATAGGGGTATCCAAATATCGATGGTATCGACAGCAGTGCTGGTATGTGCATCAGATCGATACTAGTGCAATGGAACCGATACTATTTCTACCTCTATGTAGCCTGCTGAAATGTGTTAAATTGTTATTATTATTTGATTAGAAAACGTATTAAATATATGTGTTTAGTTATGCTAACTAATTATCATGGAAATTAAAACTCTGTGATTTAGTGATCATTAAAATGTGTTCATTTTCTAAGTTGAAAGTGTCAATATCGGTATTGGTATCGGCTGGCCCTGCATTTACTTGGTATCAGATCGATATCAGCATTTGCAGTATGGCACTAGTGAGAACAGCTCGGGACCTTTAACAGGAAGTAGCCATGAATGAAGGTATAAAACTAAAACTGCAGATGAGCTAAAAATAAAACAGCAGGGGAGACGTGTTAAAAACCTCCAGCTTCTGAGTCTTGAAACTCAAAAGTAGATCTGGATCTTGATTTGTGTTTTTGGCGCTATCCTCGTTTTCTCTCAATGATTCAGCGAGCTTCCTCCCTCTTCCTCCACCCCCTCCTGCTGCTTATGGGATAAATCTGGATTAATCGGTAACGGAAAGTGTGGGCGTGTTACGGGGGGCGCGTGAAGCTCGGCGTGGATAGTTCCGGAGAGGAGATAGGTGTGTGTGTGTGTGTGTGCGCGCGCAGAGGAGGAGGGGGGAGGCTCGCGCATTCCCTAAACAGCTTGCCTTCTCGCGATTCCCGATGACATCATTCCATCCGAGCACTCGTTCGCGGACCGCATCGCATCGCCGTTAACTTTCCCGTTACCCCACCCACTTTGTGCCACAACCACATACCGCCGCGGGCTGTCTCTGTCACACACACACACTTATAACCGGAGAATGCCCCCCAGTTGGATTCTGGCATCCGCACAATGAGGGCGCTGATATCTGGGAAGTAATGGAGCACCCCTGGACATCCAGTCACACGCACACCTTCTCTCTAGCTTGCACACTCCAGCTCTCTCTCGACACACACACACACACACACACACACACACACACACACACACACACACACACACACACACACTCGACGCGTGTACACAGACCTTGTCTAACAGTCGTTAACACCGCAGTATGACTGGAGCCCCCAAATTAAGGGCAGGATGTTGAGCTGGTGACACAGACACCACAGAACGAGGCACCGCACTAACACCCGTAATCAAGCCCAATTAGAGATAACCCCGCTAATTAACCCCCCCCCCCCCCCTCCCCCTCTCCTCCACACATGCACGCACACGCACCTCCTGACTCCAGGGGACACACAGGCCACAATAAATCCCGACATTGAGACACAAAGGCTGGTGTGTGTGTGTGTGTGTGTGCGTAAAGCAAAGGGAGAGGTGGGGAGGGGAGGGGGTGTGCAAGGGGGTAGCCGCCCCCCCCTCCTTAACAGGAGTCTGGAACGGCCAATACGGATCCTGGGTCGAGTGTAGGATTTCCTACCGATCACCGACGCGCCGCCACTGTCTCATTAACGATAGCGCACTCACACACACACATACACGTGTGCGCGCACCCCGACTCCCGTGTGCGCAACGAGAGCTCCCCGGTTAACAAAGGATGTAAGGCTCGTGCTTACCGTGGTGGCGTGAGCAAGCAGCGCCGTGAGCGCCAGCAGCCAAGGCAGCTCCATGGTCGGGGTGCGCGGGCACAGCCTCCCGGTGCCGCCGCCGATGCTGCTGCCTTTACCGGTGTGGGAGGGGTGGGGGGTTCTGGGAGGTGGAGGGACCCCCAAAAAAGAAAAAAAAAGCTGCTGCTGGCTGTCGCCGGCTCCTTGCTCTCGGTGCCTCGGTAGTCTGTCCAACTTCAGAGCGAGCCGCCCGTCTGCGCGACCATCCGTCCTTGTAGTCGGGCTTTTTAATCCAAGGCTTCACGCGCTCCTGCTGCTGGTTCCGGTCACCGCTGAAGCAGATTTCCACGATGCCTCCCGATCTGTCTGTTTCTGCGAGTTTTTGCGCTCGAAATCTGATAATTTACTACCAGAAGAAGCCAGACCTCGTCTCTCTCGCTCTCTTAATACACGCACGAGCTCTCTCTACCTCTCTCTCTCTCTCTCTCTGAACACACACACACTCTCAGGCTCTCTCTCTCTCTCCTCCCCCTCTCCGTTGAGGGCAGGATGTTCCGTATGGCGACGCTGGCCTGGGAGTTTGGCAGGAGGAGGGGGTGTGTATATGTGTGCGTTAAAAGGAAGTGTAGGGGTTGGGGGTGGATCTCCGCGTGCAAGGGCGAGGATGCCCCCTGCAGCTCGGTTAGGCACCCGCAGCCCCCCCTAAAATAAAACAATAAGCAGTCTGTAAATTCACAAGCAGCGGACCGCGGTGTTGGTTTGGTTAACCGCTCACACACCTTTAACGGTCAACCGCGCTCCTGCGCCGTGATTGGCTCAGTCACACCTGCGCCTGTACGTAAGAGGGGTTGATATCGCGCGATAACACCCCCCTCTCGGCTCTTGCAGTATGGTTAGCTGTTATTGCACCGCAGCAACCGGAGTGGAAACATTTAATGACCTGTCATATGCTCAAAGTTGTGTTCGTCACTTTTACAACCACCAGCGACGTCTGAAGGTGAACTTGAGCGTGCCTCCGTTTGGTTTCTCAGCTCCACCTGCCACTGCAGACCACGTGTTCCCTCCTTATCCCGAAATTAGCCTTGGGAAAATGTTGAATTGCATCTGATTGATTGCGAAAGACTATTAAGTAGGTTTTACCTACCTGTGATTAGTGGGATCAGAATGCTTTGTTAGGCTTATAAAATGTGACCTTTTTTAAAGAAAGCACTGCCAAATAAAGCCATCAGGTGTGTCTTTAAATAAAACTCGGTCTGATGTAGATTCTGGTAGTCTTGGGTGTGTTCTCCCACCACGTTCACAGTGAATATATGTTTAACATATTGTTAAAAGTATTCACTCATCTGCCTTAAGGCAGGGTAGGGTTTAATATGACATCGGCCCACCTTTTCCAGCTATAACAGCTTCTGTTCTGGGAAGATTTTCCACAGGTTTTAGGAGTGTGTTAATGGGAATGTTGACCTTCTTCTGGATGTGTATTTGTGAGGTCAGACACTGATGTTGGACGAGAAGACCTGGCTCATAGACTCCGCTCTAATTGGTGTTTTATCAGGTTGAGGTGAGGACTCGGTGCAGGCCAGTCAAGTCTTTCCACACTAAACGTGCTTATTCACGTCTTTATGGTCCTTGCTTTGTGCACCGGTCATGTTGGAACAGGAAGGGGCCATGCCCAAACTGTTCCTACAAAGTTGGGACAATTAAATATCTTGGTATACCGAAGCATTACGAGTTCCTTTCACTGGAACTAAGGGGCCAAGCCCAACTCCTGAAAAACAACCCTACACCTAGAAACTTTACACTTGGCAACCGCCAAACCCTGATTCATCCGTCAGATTGCGAGACGGAGAAGGGTGATTCAGAGAATACATCTCCACTCCTCTACAGTCCAGTCGTGGCGTGCTTTACACCACTGTAATATTGTGCTTAGTGATGTAGCCGCTCAATCATGGAAACCTATTCTGTGAAGCTCTCCAAGCACCGTTTGGAGCTCCTAAGAGCGACCCATTCTTTCACAAATGTTTATAGAGGCAGTCTTCATGCCCAGGTGCTTGATTTTATACACCTGAATCCTACGATTTGAATGGGTGACTGAATACTCTTGACAATATATTGCAGTGTGTTTGAATGACAGCACTGGAGGACTACAAGATGGATGTGTTCTGACTGAGGCCTGTTCAACACTGCAATGCAGGCTGATTATCAGTAAATTAGGACTTCTTCTCCACTGACCGTAGGAGGGTTTTCACTCATGCTCTTCCTATTGCGATCACATAATGAGCATAAACAGAGCAGGGAGTCAAAAATAATAGAGGCGGTTTTTGGTACACATTACTTAAATTGTTCCAGACTTCTTCCATTCAGCACTGCTGGTTTGTCAGTCCTTGCGATGCCCCATTAAGGTGCCAGCCTCATTAATCAGCCACATTTATGGGAGAAAGTGGAGCATCAGGACCAAACGCCCTGCTCCCCTCTCTTGACTCTTGCTGTGTAATTGCAGCCGTATCCATTCGGTAGACATCGAACACACGCTACGGCACAGAGGATCCTGTTTCTCGATTCAACATAACGAGAGTACCAGACACACAATGAAGCACAGCGGAGGCGGGTAAATTTTCAAAGTTTTTTTTTTTTGTTCAGTTTGGTTTCAAAATAAAGATCACACAATTGTTTAGAGACAATCTACAACAGGAGTTACAAAAAATAGTTGCCCAGGCAATAAGCATACACAGGTTCTGTTAACTATACACATATGGTTACAGGTGTGCTCGTAGTAAATATACACAAGGCTGCTCCAAATGTACACCGCGCTGTGGCGGGCGGCCTCTCTCTCACCCAAAAGGACATGGACAGTATGATACAGCACTTACAGCACTAGAGAAAATGCCAAAAAACACAAGAGTCTCCTCTGTACAATCCACGCGTTTACCCCTGAAAACAGTCATGGGTAACTGAGGAGTTTGGGGGGAGAAGGGGAAGGGGGGTTTAAATGAGTAAAAGTTATTTCTCCCACCCAGCCAGCGTACTCAAAACACATGACACATTTCATGGGGTAAAGCATTCCTATAAAAAGATCTTAAAAAAGGTCAAAAAGTCCCCCCCCTCCCCACCAAAACAACAAACAAACAAAAAACAAACCAGAAGACACCACTAATCTATCCGAACGTGTCCAATTGGGAGTCGGCGGGAGATCGACGTCTTTAAGTTAAGCAGTGACGAGATAAAGATAAAACCAAGCGTGGCGAATCTTTGTACAAGTACAACGCTGTATAGAAAGGGCTTTTCAAAACAAAATTTGATATTACAATTTACAATATACAACAACTCATATGTCACAACCAAGGAGGTGAGAATATACACTGAAATGCACAGTTTTTTTTTTTTACTTTTTTTTTGTCCCCCAGAGTGAGATTTTTTTCTTTTTTTTTCTTCTTCTCATACCAAAAAAGGGTGGTAAAGCACTTTTACATTACAAGGGTTTACAAATGTACAATTATACAGTCAGAAGTATGTGGTCACTACTAGGATACATTATAGATACAGATTCAACATCAAAAACCAGAAAAACTACAAAGTTTTATATATATATTTATATATATATATGCAAAGGTCTACACCAAGTATACACGTTATATTTATAGAAGCAAGACCAGAAAACGAATCTCCCATGCTAAATGATCTGTCTGCTGGTTAGCTGATGGTGGCGCGCGCGCATGTGTGTGTCTGTGTGTGTGTGTCTGTCTATGATTCGGGGACGTCAGACAAATTAAATACTCGTTCCATCTCATAGTGGTAAATAGCTAGAATGAGAGGAGGAGGAGGAGGGGGCTCTAGGATTGTGTATGCAGCAGTAGCAAAAAGTGAAAGATTTATCTTTTGAGTTTATCAGAAGCAAAAAAGGAAAAAAAGAAAAAAAAAAAGGAGGAGTGGGGTGAGTAGAGTGGGTCTCACCTCTCCTTGTTCACCCCCACCCCCTCCTGCCACCGTCGCTGCCTTCCACTGCACCCAGTTTACAGACTGGAGTCCAGTGGGGGGAGGGGTGCCAAAAATCCAACCACGAAAAAAAAAGAAAAAGAAAAACATAAAAAAAAAAAAAAAAAACAACCCACCAACTAAGGCTGCCTGTAGCAACAGGCTCCTCCCGAAGGGTTGTCATGGAAACAGTGGTGGGAGGGGTACACGATGTCCTCTATGAGGATTCGGTGGGGTGAAGTGGGCATGATGCTTTCTGAAGGGTCAGACGAGGGGGTGGGTGGGGTAGACATGAAGGCATGAGGAAGGTGAGCTGAAGGGTGGGGAGGTGGTAGACATGATTTTGGGGTGGGGGAGGAGGAGGGGGTTCAGTTTACATGATGCCATTAGGAGGGCCGCAGAGAGGACCCAGGTCGACGCCGTTCTTCATGTAGTACTTCTCGAGCTTGGCGAGGATGTGTTTTCCATACGTGTACTTCCTCAGCGTGGAAATGTGAGGCCGGATCTGTGTGTACACACACACACACACACACACACACACACACACACACACACACACCACACAACACCACACAGCACGCACACAATCACGCACACAAGCACGCACACAAGCACGCACACACGTTAGTCAAAAATTGATACAAATTTGCTCCTTTTCGAGTCCCCTTACATGCATGCAGACCTCACATCAGTGACGAGGCTGACATTAACTGAGGTTGATAGATGCCAGTCTATAAACCGACTGAGCAAACATTACTAGAAGAGTTAATAAATAAAGGAATAAATAAAACCCAGCTCTCTAAATTCGCCCTCTGATTTGCACTCACTCGACACTTTGTTAGACACATCTGTTCAAGTGCCAATCACAAGGCTGAATAGATTTAGGCACGTAGACACAGCCAAGGCGAGCTGCTAAAGTTCAAAGTGAGCATCTGAATGGGATTTTCCTGCACAGCCATCTCTAAAGTTTACAGAGAAAATATCCAGTGAGCAGCAGCTCTCTGCTGAAAGTGTCTTGTCGATGGTAGAGGTCAGAGGAGAATGGCCAGGCTGCTTTAAGCTGATAGGAAGGCAACAGTAACTCAAATAACCTCTTGTTAGAACCAGGTATGCAGTAGAGCGCACTGTGTCAGTCCTGTCAAGTAAGAACAGGAAACTGAGGCTAGAGTTCGTACAAGCACATCAAAACTGGACAACAGAAGACTGGAAAAATGCCGCCTGGTCTGATGAGTCTTGATTTCATTCGGATGGTTGGGTCAGAATCTGGTGTAAACAACATGAAAGCACCAGCACTTGTTTATTCTACGCCACGAAGAATTAATGCAGCCCTGAAGGAGAAAGGGGGCCTAATCTGGCACTCGCGAGATGTACCTAATGAAGTGTCCGGTGAGTGTACGCATTAATGCAAACTTCACTGAAATGTTCTTTCCCATTATGGATGGAGGTCAAGCTAGCAGACATATTTGTACCTTAATAGCTTTAGAGGTAGTTGCTACTTGGACACAACAACAGAGTACATTAGCTGGATGAGCTCTCATCAATCCAACCCACCTGCACATTTTTGCATTAGTGACGGTTGGTTTCATTATAGTTTTGTTCGCGTTAGTGATCTAATTTGCTTTAAAAAAAAAAAAAAAA